CCTCGGTAAGCCGACCCGCCCTTTCCATATTTCGGCTATGCCCACCTGGGAGGCATACCTGAATAGGAGAAGGTCACTCACTGGCGTGTCACATCAAGGGTCAGAGAGACCCGAGGAACAACAACCGATCTGTGACTTGCGGCGGTGATACCGGACGAACGACGGCGGCTGGCTTGGAGACGAGATGCGTCTGGTAGTGGTCTGATAGGCTGCGATCTCTGCACAGCAGAAAGCCGAGACGGCGGACGTGTTTGATGCGAGCGATGTCCAGGGACGAGGGTTAGAGGGGAGGGGGACCCTTTTAGAGACAAGACAAGAGGATACAAGAGTGATGGGTGGCGGAGGAAGAGGCACGTAGCGTGACACGGTACATATAGATGGTGTGCTCTCGATCTTTGGGGAGGAAAAGGTCGAGGAACTCTATCTATATACTATACTATACTATACCTTGCCGAAAGCCTGCCTTGTCCTTCTGGCTTGTCCTCCTGCCTTTTCCTGTTTTCCTTTCTCTCTCTCTGTTGGTCACTGCAGTAGAGCAATACAAAGATGCCGCTCATCAATGAAGCACCGTACTCCCCGGATGACATCCCCGATCACCCACAATGCGCGCCGCAGCCGTTGAAGATCATCCACGTCGGCGCGGGTGCCTCTGGTCTGTTGTTCGCGCACAAGGCGGAGAGGATGCTAAAGAACTACGACTTGATTTGTTACGAGAAGAACGATTCCATTGGAGGCACATGGTATGAGAACAGGTCAGTTTCCTGGTCAAATGGTTCATTCGCGCAAAGCTAGGCCCTCCTGACAACCCGTATTGATAGATACCCTGGCTGTGCATGCGACATCCCTGCGCACACGTACACGTTCCCCTTTGAGCCGAACACCGAGTGGAGCGGCTACTACAGCGGAAGCGACGAGATCCAGGAGTATTTCGTGCGGTTTGCGAAAAAGTACGGCGTCGAGAAGTACGTCCAGCTCAACACCGAAGTCGTGGCCGCCACGTGGGACGAGACCAACTCGAACTGGACCGTCGACCTGAAGCGCAAGGACGGCAGCACCTTCACAGACACCTGCGACGTCCTCGTCAACGGTGCCGGCGTGGTCAACAGGTGGAAGTGGCCGACCATCGAGGGGCTGCATGACTTCAAGGGCCTGTTGTTGCATTCGGCCGCGTGGGACAGAAGTATTGACTGGGCGGGCAAGACCGTCGCCGTCATTGGCACAGGCTCGAGCTCGATCCAAATGGTGCCCAAGCTGGCCGAGACGGCGAAGCATCTCACCGTCTTCATACGCAATCAGACGTACATCGCCACGCCGTTTCTGTCCACGTCCAACAAGGAAGCCGACCCTGACGCCGCCGACCCCGGCACCGCAGGCAAGCACTTGTATACGGAGAAGGAAAAGCAAAAGTTCCGAGACGACCCGGACTACCATCTTAAGTACCGCGAGGACGTGGAGCGGTCTGTGGCCAGCATCTTCCGCATGTACCTGCGCGGGACCGAGCAGAACCTCGCCGCGAAGAAGTTGCTGCAGGAAGACATGGCGAGGAAACTCGGCGACCGCGAGGACCTCAAGCAGAAGTTCATCCCCGCGTGGAGCCCCGGCTGTCGTCGACTGACGCCCGGAGAGGGCTACCTCGAGGCGCTGGTGCGCGACAACGTCACCTGCGTCTTCGAGGACATTGTCAAGGTCACCCCTGAGGGCGTTATTACTAGCGACGGCAGAGAGCACAAGGTCGGCATTTTGGTGTGTGCCACGGGGTTTTTTGTCCAGTATCAACCGCACTTCCGCATTACAGGCCTCAGCGGCCAGGTCATGCAAGACCAGAAGCAACCCAACGTGTACGCCTCGATCGCCGCCCCCGGCTTTCCCAACTACTTTGTGGTCAACGGGCCCCGAGGCAACTGGGGACAGGGCTGCGCACTCCCCAGCCACGAGGTGCAGGCCGATTACATCCTCCAGTGCTGTCGGAAATTGCAAGAGGATGGAATCCGCTGGATGGCGCCCAAGCAGGACCTCACGACCCAATTGAACCTGTACATGGACGCATGGCACAGGAAATATAGCGTGTGGGCCGAGGACTGCAAGAGTTGGTACAAGGTGAGTGCGATCCCTTTCTTTCTTTTTCCCGTTTCACACAGCATAACTGCCCTCCTTTGTTGTGGCGATGCTAACTTGACATGCTCAACCAGGACAACAAACCCGACGGCCGCGTGTACATCTGGCCAGGCAGTCTGCACCACCACCTCAAGTTCCTGAAGCGCCCGCGTTACGAGCATTACGACCTGCAGTACAAGGACCCGGGCAACGTCTTTGCCTTCCTGGGTAATGGGCTCACCATCACAGAGACAAAGTACGGACCCAAGGACATGCCGGTCCCGTACATCAGAAACAGCGAGGACGTCGAGTGGGATATCGAGTAGTAGCAGCCTAGCTTGGAACGGGCATATTTCGGCTAGAGCAGGCTGCTCAGTAATCTCTGGAGAAGGGTCGTGCCTCCAAGGAGTAGTATGCGTTTGGTATTCTTACCGAGTTGTTGTGGAAGAAAGAGCGGACGGACGGACGAACTATTATGCATGCGGATGAGCGGACGAATGTGTCCTGCCTGTCGATCTCACTGTTGCGTTGCTGAATAAAGATAGAGCCCGAAGATGAATCAGTGCTAGAGAATTGAGCTGGATCCCCTGAGACCCGTCAAGGGATGGAAATTGAACGAGCAACGACCGGTATCCCCATGTGGAAATGGGTATGTACGAAGTACGGAGTGGGTCGTGGTAACGCCGACGAGGCTGAGTTTCCTCTTTGAAGGAGGCAGGGGGTCTGTAAGTGCCGCAAGGCTGTAAAGAAAGGCTGTAAGGCTATGAGTTTGTCCATGCCAAGCCCGCATTTGTAGGGAAAGCCAGACAAGCGAAATTTCCCCACCTGCACTGGCACCGTGCTTGATACGTTCTCCCACTAGACTTTCACGCAAACCTGATAGATTTGGGGAGGGATTCCAGTTGTGTTTCGCATCACAAAATCACGGGAGACAAATCGAAAAGCTGCAGGACAGCCTGGCTGAGACTTTGCGATCCGAGAGCCGGCCTCTGCACCTCCCTTATTGTGAACGAAACCGGACACACTCTCGCACTGACGAGCGCAACCACCTTCACGACGAGACGACGTCTACGTACATACCTGGCACATGTCGGATAGAGTTTGAAAGAGCGAGGAAAGACGAGGACGGGTGAAAGGGAAACAAACGTCTATATACAGACGACACACGACACATCCCCTCCCTCACAGACATGTCGCACGCACGAGTGGAAGAACTGTCCGACTCGGACCCCGACATTGACGACCCTTCCGAGTTCCTGCCACAATCGGACCAGCACATAATCCGGCCGGCGAGCCAGACGACGGCATCATCACTCGCCTCGATATCAACTCCTCCCTCGTCCACGTCAGGAACAAACCCAACCCTGTTCCGCCCCGCGCCTGGATCGGCATCCACGGCCGGACCAACCCCTCAAATCCGACAACAGTCGCGGGAAGAGATCAAGCGGTTCCAGTCTCTGTACCCGGTATACTTTGACAGCACGCGGACGAAGAAGCAAGGACGCCGCGTGTCTGCGCAGCTGGCGATCCCGAACCCGCTGGCGTGGCAGGTGCTGTGCGCGGTGCGGTTCGCGGTCGGGGAGAACGTGTTCAAGATGGCGTTTGAGCCCGAGAAGACGCACCCCAAGGACTGGGCCAACCCGGGCCGGGTCAAGCTCCTCCTCAAGGATCCGGAGACCCACGCGCCCCTCAACCGCACCATCCGCAGCAAGGCGCACCTCTACACCATCATCGGGCGCTGGCTCAAGGACCACCCCACCACCAAGGAGTCGCCGCTCGAGCTGCGCCTGCCCGGTCTCCCCGTGCCGGAGAATTTTCTGGAGTACGAGGTCGCCGTCCCCCGCGGCTGGAAGATGGGCACCATCCTCCCCGTGCATTCCTCGGCCGTGAGCGGCGGCGGTGTCAGAGACGACTTCTTCAAGGAGGCCATGGAGGAGCTCAGGCAGGCCCAGAGTCAGGGCCAATTGCCCGCGGGTGGTCCCGGCGGAGCTGGTGGCGGCATGCCAGATATGAGTGCGCTGCAGAGCATGATGAACGGCATGGGTGGGATGGGCGGGATGGGAGGTCTTGGCGGATTGATGGGCGGCGGGGGCGGCGGAGGAGGAGGTGGTGGAGATTCGAGTACCAAGAGAAAGAAAGACAAGAAAAAGAGTTGATGAGTTCTGAAGCGGTGTGCCACAAACCGTGTGCAGTGCAGAGCTGCTGAACGGCAATCATATCATATCATGTCAATGGCTACAAAAGAGCAATCTATCTGCCTTGCCTTGCCTTGCCTGGCCTGGCCGTGCCTTGAACCCAAGAAGTCCCTCTTTTCCCCCTAAAGTGAGTGAGCGCGATGACCGAGTGGCCCGGGCAGCTCTCTGCTCTCTTGAGAATCCTATCTTTTCAGATCCTCCAGTTGTAATTCAGCCCTTGCTCCACGTAACTTCTGAAGAGAAAATCGCATGTCTCTCCCTCTTCTCACGACACCTAATCCAAGTACAGACGTGACATCAATACCCTTCCAGCAGGAAGGCAGGGCAGGCCATCCGACCGCTCTACCCGCGTCTTTGTCTTTGTCTTTGTCTTTGTCGTTGGGCGGGTCTTTCTCCGTGTTTGCTGTGATCCTCTTCAATCACCATCTTCATCATCACCCTATCGTGATCCTCAAATCCAGCTGCCTCGGCGCTTCGTTTCAGTCCCTGAGAATCTCTGGGTCGTGGCAGATCTTGATCCTCGTCTTGATCTTGATCATGTGTATAGCCTTCGTCGGATCCTTCGCCTTCACCTTCATAGGTGGCTTGTTTGCTCTTGCGGCACGTTGCAGGATGGCTTGTTGATTGTGCACCGTTCAGTGCGTCGGTGGCCTCTTTCTCTCCTTCTTCTCCTTCTTCTCCGTTGTAAACCCCTGCTCACGGGTCTTCAATTCAGACGTAGCCCTCGTTGTCGTCACTGTTGTTCATGTCTTCAGTGCGGTGGTCGTCATTTTCATCGTGATTGTCATTGTCCTGGTCACGGTCGACGCTTTCGTCATCGCCATTGTCGCTATCTCGTTCATGGTCGTCGCCCCCATCATCACCACTGCCATCGCGTTGGTCGTCGTCACTCGAATCGAGCCCCGCACATTCCACGGCGTTGAAGTCGGGACACGCTCGGCGCTCTGCCCTGCTCTTGTGCGTGTGCCACTTTGCACACAGACGATCGCGTGGATGGAACGGGAAGAACCTATCCCGGAACCCCTTCAAGTCTTCGATCGCGAGCAGGAACTCGGCGAGGAGGCGAGGGCTGGCCTCCATGAGCCCAGAGAAGACCGACCAGTTCTCGAGGACCTCCAAAAGAACCATGTCCATCTCGACGACCTGAAAGGCTAGGCTGTCGAGCAGGGCGCCGACGAGTGAGGTGCGGGAGAGGCCGGCTCGGGAGAAATTGTCGGCGATCCCAAAGTGTGCTACAAGGCATGTGTTGGACATGACGACCGCGGTGGTGGTCAGGTAGTTCTTGAATGGCTGTGCCTCGAATCGGTCGGCGACATCCCAACACCGGACAAACAAGTCTGGTTTCTGGCCGAACTTGCACTGAATCACGTTGTCAAAGTCCTCATACAGTCGAGTGTCTGCGGTGCTGTACAGGCCCAGCCACAGCCCAAAGACCACAGCGGCCTGGCAATCCTGCTCTCGGAAGCGGCAGCAGAGCGAGCCGGGCGAGGGTGGGGATGTTGACGAACGGCGGGACCTGGAACGACGTCCGCTCCTTTCAAAGAGAGGTGATGCGTCCCGGAGCGCCGCGGGCAATATGTAGATGTTGAACCAAGTTTCAGAGTTGTCGGAACCTATCAAGAAGGCAACTTTGTTCAGGCTGCGTTGTGATTCCACCGTCAGAGAACTCGACTGCACATCATATGGATGGGGCACGCGTGCTGGGTCTTCATCATTGACTAGGACTAACCTCTCCATGTACATGGCTCGCACGTACTCCGAGACTTCAGGGAGCGGGGACCCGGGTAGAGAGTCCAGAAGACTATGGGCAGATGAGTCGGGCAAAAGGGCAAGGGACGAGGTTGAGCTAGCGTTCGAGCCGTGCACAGAAGCCATGGTCCAGGTTGAGACAGCGGGCGGTGTGAGGATCACCGTGGCGATGACTGAAGCGTACGCTTAGGTGTGAATGTTATTGTTGAGTGGTTTGGACAACGACAACAGAGGGCGATGAACATGAGAAACGACAAAGGAGACAAACTTGTGAAACTGAAGTCGACCGTGGGTTCAAATATCAGATTTCGTCGTTGGATTCCCCTTAGAGGGTTAGATAGTGTCACCCTAACGTTGTCTTGGCTGGATTCTCGGCGGAGCGTCGATGATGTCGTTGCTTTCAGCACAGGTGAGAGGGTGAAGGAGAGAATCAGGAGAGCATCAGGCCGTCGGGGGCCAGTCTCTGCTGTCCACAGCTTGCTTTCCACCTCTCATCCGGTTCAGAGTCGTCTCTGTCTCTCCCTCTCCCTCTCCCTCTCCCTTTCATCCATCACTCACAAACCGCCACACAGCAGTCTCCTGCTTCAGAGCGATACCAGGACAGGTTTGCTCGTCTGTGAACTTCATGAGGCACGAGGATGACTTCAAGAGAAAGTTCCTCAGGCTGTCCCCTCCATCCCCCATTTCATACCGTCCATCCCATCCAGACTTAGGGGGCCCAACATCGTCAAATCGACCGACCCAACTTTTTTGAGGACAACAGACCCATCATGGCTGTATGCGTCAAAAACCTGGGCACGCGTGGGGGGCCCGACGCCGAAGCTGAAGACCGGTCATCTGTCATCGGTCATATGTCACTTTGATGTCCGGGGTACTGTCGCCAGGCGCTCTGGTTCCGGAGTGAATGGCACTTCCATCCCACTCCGCTGGCTGTCTTGAGCCCATGATAGAATTTGTTCTTTGTCGCCTGCCTTGTGCGCGGGTTGCCCATGTTTATTACGAGTGTGTTGACTACACGTGCGCGTTACTGTAGCTTAGTTAAGGAGAGGTTGTGCAGGAGCCAGTAAGAAAGAGTTCACCTAGGCACTTGGGGTTATCTACGGCTGAATCTCGGGTCGACAAGCGCGACAAAGACAACAAAGTACTCGGTATGTAAGTTGATCCGAAGAAGAGAAGGCATCTTAGTCCTCAGGGTCACAAAGACAAAAAAAAACCCCCCCAAAGGGAGAAAGAATAAGCAAGATGGTGATGTCAATATGCTGTCTAGAGAGTGAAGCTCTTCTCTATGTATCTTTTCCAGCGTAGTTGGAGCTGACGATATTGAGCAATGCTACCTCGGTGTCCTAGAGCCCCAGCCTCATTGTCCGCTGGGTGTGCTGTCCAGAATACCAGCGACTCTCATCAAGAAAATAGCTACGCCCGCAGGACCCATGCACCAAACCCACTCTGACCGTCCAGCACCGTGGCACCGTCACGCAAGATCCTGCCTGGCATATCATAGCAAGAAGAAGCTGTCACAGTGTCTGCTTGCTCGTCTGCTCAATGTGCTGCCGAATGTCCTTCAAGCTTTGAAGCATCAACCTGAAGTGGTTTGAGTGGTCAAGTATGTCGGTGTATTATTAGGCCACAACGCTAAAATAGTCCTTCGCGAGGCCCCAAAAATGTGCTGAGCGATGAGCCATGCCCGTTCTTGAGACCGTTGTATGCAGCCAAGGGTTTCCACCCCGGCGTGGTATTTCGTGGACATTTGGCCTTTGTGTCGTCGCTCACATGTTCGTGCCACTTGCAGTTCCTCTGTGCCATCGGGGCCACAAGGTGGTGGTGATGATTCTCTTCGTTCAGCTTGTCGACCCTCAACAACAGCTGATTCAGCAACCCGGTGTTGGCCGTCTCGCTGACAAAGTCGCGCCAGGTACTCCCTTCGCTGTCACGGTCTGACCCGGTGAACTCGGCCCAGCCCCCGACGACGATCTTGTATGCCAGACAATCGAGGACGTAGTCCTGCAAGACCCCGAGGTCGGAGGAATACTCTGCGTCCAAAGTGCACAAGGACTTCAGATCCCAGTGGCTCATGGGAACGTCCTGCATCGAATCCATGATTGTGTTGCGGAGCTTCTCGGAGCCGACCAGGTCTGCGAACTTGAAGTAGCGCTGCACATCCTTGAACGCCAGAGGCTGGGGGTGGTTGCCGGATTTGGTCAGGCCGCCTTGGTAGATCAGGTCGAGCCAGTCGGCGAGGACGTCGTGGTCGCTGGTGGGGAGACGGACCGTGGTGCGATCAGGAGAGGAATCGAGGATGATGGCAAAGTACTTTGAGTTCTCCAACAAGAGCGACTTGCTGACGTGGAAGACATTGAGTGGGACGTCTGCGTCTTCCTCACCAAAGATCTCGTCTTCGCCTGCAATCACCTTGATGACGGGGGCGCGAGCGTGGCTGCTAGGAGGTCAGTTCGCGTTTCAAATGCTGAGAAGGTCTTGCCTGCTGCTCACCTTGAAGTCATTGCTGGTGGTGCCGCCATGTTTCTAATGGACTGAGGAGGTTGTTTGGAAGAGGCTGCGGAGGACTTTTCTGATGTGCCTGTGCTTGAAAGGTGCGGATGCAAGAGAAATGAGAAGAGTGATCAGACGAAATGGTGAGGAAGATAGTAATAAGTTCAGATTCAACATCAGGTGAAGTGAATAAAACAACTGCTTGCCTGCAGCTTGGCGATGCTATGTGCAAGAAGACAAAGGTGAATTGCGAGACAAGCTACTGTGAAAGAGGGAAGACTTTGTTCTATTGGCAGAAGACCATGTTTGCCCGTGAAGCAAAGGCTGATAATGAAGTGGTGACAAGCTGCGCGTCTCATCTCACACCAAAGTTCGGCTGTGGATTGTAACTTGATTGATTCCGTCTCTCTATCAGCAACACCAAATAGAGCTCAACTTTTGTGGTTCGGCCTGGATTGCTGCCTCTCCTCCATCAAGCAGTCCTTGCATATTCTGTCCCCCAATTCCGAGAGAGAGGAGAGAGAGTATCGAGATGTGTCTGTCTGTCTTGTTATTTTGATCCTCCTCAGGTCAACACGCAGAGTGGTGTTGTCCATCCCCGTCTCACAGCAGCCCACCCAGTACAGTCCTGGTCCTGGCCTCATTGAGGAGACACACGCATATTAATGCTGTTGTACAGTTTCGGCTTCCCATTTTCTCTTCGACACGGGGTTGGGTATTGGTATATGCGGAGTCGACTCCATGGGAGCCACGTACACCGGAAGCGTTTGACTGCGATGCTGAGACTGGGGCGACGGATGGTGGAAGACCGCCCTTCCGTGCCCTTCAAGCTGTATTGCTGGCGAGCTTTGGGTGCCATTCTGACGCATCTGATCCAGATGCGCCATGAGGAAGGAAATGAGTTTCCCCTTCGTTCCGGCCCCGTTGTCCTTGTGGCTCATGAAATCCTCCCAGCCACCCCTAGTTCTTTCAATGAAACTTACCCAACCATTGCTGGCAATCTTGGTAGCAAGACCTGATAGTATGTAGTCGCGGAGAGCGCATTTCGAGATGACATCGCCATCGAGAAATTTGGCGATGGACAGATAGTCAGACTCCTGCAAATGGACCCTACCCTCCTTCATGATGTATGACTTGAAGGTGTCTGATTGGAGCTGAGAGGCTAGAGTCCAGATGTTGACGAATCTATCTCCGAGTGTGTGCTCGTCTATACATCCTTTGTAGAGCCACGTCACAAAGATATCAAAATCAGTCACATCGACATCGCGGTCGAGATCAAGTGGGATGATTTGGGTGAGCCGTGTCTTCAACATCGTTTCAAAATATTTCGATCCATCCTCGAGGAGTGCCGTATGGATGTAATGCGGGCCTGACTTGCGGGAGCCTTGGTGCGCAACCACAGCAACAGTGGGAGACTTGGTAAACCTATCACGCAAATCAGCCGTGACTGATAACAGGCTCGCTTCAGAGATAAGCACACCGGACGGAACGAGGAGCAACTAATGCCATGGCTGAACTCATTCTGGAGACTATGTGGTAATGAGATATTGCAAATCGGAGTCGGTATTGGACGAGTACTGAGAGAGATCAAGGGTGCGTCCCTGATCAATAGACCCTGATAAGATGAGAACGATGCAGACTGTCTCAGTCAACTAGTACAACTGAGGTCAACAAAACCTCAGACCATTCAGGCCTTTTGAATGGAGCTTGAGTGATCTCGAAAAGTGAATGAAAAAGGTATAATTTTGTTTCTGACGGCTTTTTGAAGTATTCACCAAGTCCTGATTCTTTGCCGTCTAATGTGCAAGTCTGGTCAGGTTTATTTTCAATCCTTAACGAACGGCTAACCTCCCTGGACTGGCCTGATCACAGAACCGTCACACACAAACTCTCGATCGATTTTTAGCAGGCTGAGTTGTTCATGATATCCAGACACAATCATACATCGGCATGTGAAGAATACTAAAGAGCGGTCATCCCTCGACCACATAGAGAATGAGATGCGTCGTCTCCATCTGTAGGATCCTTGGTCTCCCATTGTGGAAGTGCTGGCTCGAGTTCAGTGGCAAGGACTCCTCCTTCGTCGTCACCGCAAGGAGACAAGGGATAGTCACTCTGCGCCTTTTCCAGTCCCAAGGCGCGGGTCCGTTTCTTTGTCTTCTGAACCAGATGTTCTTTGAACCGAACAATGCGACATTTCTCGGCGAGCGACAATGCATCATTAACATGGCTGCTGTCTTCGTCGCAGGAGACGCAACCCCAGCCACGGTACCAGGACAGCATGCATGCGAGGACGGCAGGCTTGATGTTCCCAAAATCGAAATGTCGGCTCCTCGCTTCTGGGTGATCTCCATGCAGCCGGTGTGCAAAGTACGTGGATTCACGGCAGAGTCGTGGCCCGTCGAATGCAAAGTACTGCTGGTAGCTCCCTTTGCCGGCTGTAAATGTTACCACGTTTGAATAGTCGAAGAGATTCTTGTGAGGCTCGTGGGTGGTCTGGTTGTCCGTGCGCTCCATCAGGGTTATGGAACTGGTAGTATGAGAAGTCGTGCACGAGTTCCAATCCCTTAGCATGCGGGACGAAGGTAAATTTATATTGGTGACGGTGAACAGGCTGTCCAGTAATGTAGAGGCGTTTCAGGACTCGAGATACTCACTCCATTCTGTCACATCCTCCATCAAATCCGTGAATCCAGAGTATTGCCCAAATACGGAATCCCAACGCTCCCAGTCAAAGCCCATGTTCATCTCCGTGTCACCCTGGTGTAACTCGGTATAGACGAAGCTCTGGTCCCTGTGTGACTCTTCATCATGGTGATCAAGCAGTCCGGTGCTATAGCCATTCACGTTATTGTTTCCGTAAGACGCTTCCATGGTTTGCTGCTTAGATAACTGAGCATTGAACAATTTCTGCTCTGTATCCGTCACATCTTTGGCGGGCACCTCCCCCCAGTTATGTTGAAGTGGTGCAGACTCTTGCTGTACCGTCTGTGTGCCATTCTTGGCTTCATACCCACCTAAAAACGGCACTGTCTGAGTGGGACAAAGAGGAGGCTGCGCTTCTGCTCTGGGCGTGTGCGTGTGGAAAGGTAGGACATGGACTGGCGTAGTGTCGCTGGTTGCTGCGGTTCCAGAGCACTTCTCCATGCGTTTACTGAGTGGAAACGGCATTCTTGGCTGACCCTCCCGTCGTGCCAGTACTCGACCGCCATTGGACCCAGACTCGTTTTCAAGAGTTTGCCGCAACTGGCTCCGCATGGCTTGTGAACAGATGGGCTCTTGCGCTTCATGGGTTTCATTAACAAGCTCTTTGTGGGCCAAATGGACCATGTATCTGACACCTTTTTCCAATGCAGGATGTTCTGCTTGTGCATCACGCGTACAGGAAGGCGAGGTTTGTGGACCTGGAGTTGGGCTGTCATAAATTGAATCTTCTCGAATACTTTGAGCAATCTTTTGCGCATCCGTCAATGGTTGCGCGATGCCGAGCTCGATTTGGTCCGCCTCCGTCCAAAGAACTGTAGGATCGAGTCCTGCTCTTTGCCAGGCAGCAGAACGAAGGCCTCGTAGCATGTCCCACGCTTCAATGCCGCCCTCCCGCAGCGGTCTCTGAACAGTGACGCCATCAGGGCCACCGACGATGCCAGCACCGGGAGCAGCTAACCCAAATACCTTGTCGATCAATTCTCTTGATCTGGGTGCCTCAACGCTGGTCGGTCTCTCGTACAGATCAACAAGAACTATCAAGACCGCGTGAAGAGGGCCGTAAGTCGCCGGCCAGGCCCATCGAAAAGGCTCCAAGTCTGGATCGGCTGCGAGTGATACAAATTTTCGGAGGAAGCTGTGGCAATTGTGCAGGGCGCATTGTCGACCCATACCCCACAGCTTACTTCTCGTGTTCTTCAGGAATGGGGCATATGCAACACAATGCACCTTGTCAATAAGCATAGATAGGCTAATTCGGGCCCATTTGTTGTAGGCAGCTTGCTTTGCGCGATAGTAAGCGGCCAATGGCCACGAGGGGTCAGTGTTGTTGACAGTAGTCTTGTAATATGCAATGTCATTTGCAGTGATAGGGTCGCCCATGGACACATCGGTATCTGATGCACGGGGCTGCGCATCTCTAAGCGAATCCGGAACGAATCCCATTTCTGGAACTCCTTTGCTGGGAATCGACTTGATAATAGCGTTGACTTGATCCCCTGCTTCAGTCATAATCCGTTTCATTTCTTGCATATCTCCATTCGTGAGTCTTTTCGTTTCCAGATGTAGAGACACGACGCTTCTTATTGCGCATGCCATTATCGACTTTCCTCTTGCCACGAGGGACAGTGTGCCAAAAGCTTTTGGATTCGTACTCTCTCCATTCGAAGCCGAACTAGAGGATGGTGAAATTCTCAAAGACTTGTCCGAGTTGACGCTTGCGGACCCATCCTCAGACACATGGGCATCTCTATCTTCACAGAAGATTCTCGTATCGCAAAATTTCTCAGATATCTGAGAAGGATAGCCACTCGCGACAACGTGAGAAACATCCAACTGGATGATCTGCCACCAGAGTCGTCGTCGCATGTTTTCCTCGGTAATAGACAGCTCAAACAGAGTGGGCTCTCTGTGTAGCCCCATGGTCAATGCCAGCCTCACCGCCAGTGAGAGGTACAGGCTGCCTTGTAAAGGGTCCTCTTCAGCTATAGGCATACTTTGCAGGAGGACGAGGGCAGCAAGTTTGTACAAGCTGACTTTTTGAGCAAAGCAACTGATAAGGAGGCAAAACACCACCTGATCGTGGAACCGGGTGCTAAGTTGTGCCCTTGAAGTTTGAGGAAACCATTGCCGAAGACCTTTTGTAGAAATACTTAGCGAACCCGCATACCAAATGGCATAGATCACGGCCAAGAAGTCCAAATCTCGAAAATTGGATTCTGAGAGACCATTCGACTCGACCTGGTCCCAGAATTCTTCGTGTTTCCTGCTCATCTCCGAGGGCAAGAGAAGCCCCAATATTGGATATACCCCTGATAGCCAACACCTGAAAAGAACGTTACTTTGTGCTCTGGTGGGCAGGCCCTGCGTCAGATGCTGTAAGGCAGTCTCTGCTGTACACTTGATTGGGAGGTTCTGCAACAGACTGGATTTGGTGAATGGCATGAGCCTACATATCGGGCAGTGGCTGTCAGGCCTAAGGTCTTCCGGGATCTTTTCGCCAGCTTCTTTGTGAAAATCAGTGGGATCGGTCACATCATCTTTTTCTTGTTCGTGGTCTTCGTCCACAGGAGGAACAAACTCTCGTGGCCTGTCACACTGCTTGTTCTCTGGGCTGATTGAGCTTGCATAGGTATTATCCCGACGACGCATCAGGTGATTGAGTTGATCGATCTCTTCGGATATATTGATCCAAAATGGATATTCTGACCTTGAGTCGCCATTGCTCAGGTTCAAACTTGATAGAGGCTTGCTGAGGTCAGAGGGTTCCCTCGCTGATGTGTAATTGCTGGGTTGGAACATGTCCAGACTCATGCTTGATTTTGGTGGAATTCCATCAGAGCCTGAATCCGAGTTTGATGCCTCAGGTGTAAGGAAGTCTTTTAACCGCAGGTCATTCCCGTTACCCTGGCGAAAAGCATCGAACATCTTGGTCAAGCGGTGCAGCTGCTCTTCGATGGCTTTGAGGTCAGCGGGCGTTCTCAACTCATGTGCTTCGGTGATTGTTCCTAAAGAGCCTTGGCTCATGGGACTTGATTTTCGCTTCTTCCACACCGGGCTTGTGGTTTCCTTTGGCAGACCAGGCTGTGCCGAGGTGGATGTCATATCATCCTGGGTGTAGTAGCATTCTACATCGGCTTTTTGGCAGCCTCCACAGATTGGGCGGGCCTTGTCACACTTGACTTTCCTCCTTCGACAAGTGAGACAGCTGTAGCTAGCCCGATTTCTCGTGATTTGACGTTTTTCGGGCTTCGCCTGGTTCGGGGTTGGCTTAGAACCGTGCAAGAGGGAAGGTTCGTCGCCTGGTGGGCCAGCGCTGAAGTGAAACATCGTCGCCAGTGTTGAAACAAATAATAATGATCTGTTCGTGCTCTCTGGTCGTTCTTGCGACCAGTTTCAAGGAGCTCTCGGTGGTCGACTGTGGTTCGTGGACAAGCTGACAAATCCTGTACCTGGACGTTATGGCTGGCGGTGACCCTTATCCCTTCGTTGCAACTGCTTCAAAGCCGAACCACTCTCTTACTTGTATAATTGCTTAGCAAGGATTTGATTTGCCTTTTTCATCAGGTAGATAAACAATTAGAACAGGATGATGTGAGATTGAATGGAGGAATTGCTGTTGGATTCCAGTCCTCGCGATGTCGATCGATCCAGTGCTTGTTTAGGCAAAGTGCGAGCTTGGCATGATATTTGATTGACTGTCATCTGCTCAATGGCATCGACGAGGATTTTGTCAAGGAACATAATCGGAGACCCTCATCACCGCTATCAAATCTATTCCCTGAAATCCTTGTCCGACTCTGGTACAAGTACATTTCGAGTGTGATTTGGATACCTTAGTCGCTAAAGCCCTCCCAGCTCTCCTCTCCGTTCCGAGTATCGATAGCTTCGGCAGAACGCTGCGTTGTTCCAGAAGGGGAACGGACAAAGCAGCATACAAAGAATCCCATAGTCCCTTCATTGTCTCCTGGATAGCACCGAATACATGCTTCGCGATCCTCGTCGCTCAAAGCGGAACCGGAGTTCTCTTCCTCCTCTGACATGGTCATACCCCGATGCGCCCAGTCACGCATCCCTGAAGCTTGTTCTGCTCTCCGCAAGAGCCGCCATTTGCCTTCCTTTGCAACACCGCTTTGTAGCACTCGGGAAACGACTGCCTCATTTTCCTGCACATGTACTGAACAGGTCGAATAAGTAACTCGGGTGGCGGCTGGGAAAGAAAGAGCATGCTCAGCAATCCTGGTCTGCAAATTCGAAAGTTTCAGCAGTCGGATGCTATCTGAGACAATGTCTTTCGTCTCCTCGGCTTCAGTTGCATTGTGGACAGTCTCGGTGTGATCATGGTCTCTTTTCCTCTTCCTGGAGGACTTTTCAGAGGCTGCGGAGTTCTTTTTTTCAGACGTTGGGTTAACAGGTAATGCCAAGGAAGGAATATCTTCGCGCCCAACAATTCCACTGCCAGAGCAGCTCGGGTCAAGGAGAAGATGCGTGACTTCCCTATACTTGCTATCACGAGGGTCGAGGGTCAAAAAGTCACAGCTTGGTTGAACTATCACAGCATTTGACCCGCTCTTCTGCATCATGCGTAATAATGTCTGCGACCGGTTGGCATCCCGTTCACAAGCAAATACCGAGCTTTCGACCTTTCCATTTTTGACAAGCAGCGCCGCGAGATGAGAAGTCTTGTTGCCAGGCGCAGCACAGGCATCGATGCAGTCACCTATATCAGAACCGCAGTCCCTTTCCCCGACCAGGAGATAAGCAGGGAAGCACGAAGCTTTGTCCTGGAGGATGAGTTTTCCGGTCCTGTAAGCATGTGTTTGCGTCACATCTGCCTCTGGAGGAAGAGCGATTAGATCTGTCACATGCCGGTCGACAACCAGAACCTTTTCCGTAGCCAGTGAATTGGTCACCTCCGTGATGGTCGGTACGGTCTGGTATCCTTCAAAAGTCGTACCAAGTTCTTGTGTCAGGCTCGTCTTCAATGTATTGATGCGGACCCATCTTGGCTGAGATCGAGTTGCTCGCGGTCTTTCGGCCACAAGACTGCTTCGCAGTTCATCTAGGGTGGCGCACCTCCTCCGCAGCCTGGCCTTTGTAAATTCCGCCTGCAGTCTGGCCTTGTTTCTTTCAATCGCCTGTCGGAGTGGATGTGCAGAAGGTGCTGCGAGGCCCTTCTTCGAGAAGAAATGGTCGTGGACGAGAAGCAAGGAAAGGATTGGTGTCAACTAATATCAGGAAGAGCCCAGAGGCTAAGTCAGTCAGCAGAGACACGAAACTTCTTGGAGAAAATGCCGAACCTTTGGTTCCCGAGCCAGGAGGTCCGCATTGTCGACAACTTCTTTGATGAAGTGGTCGTATTTTGTAGTCTCTGAAATGAGTGCGTAAATATGTGCCGGTTTCGATTTCAACCCCTGTTTATTCCCGTATATTCGAGACTTGAGGGAACCTTCCTGGGCACTGGCCGTTAGCACCGTTTCTGCATCCCTGTAGAGAGACATCTAAGGGACAGTCGCAGGTGAATCTGTGCCGAGTACAGGTTATTGGGTGTCCTGGAGAAGAATTCTGTGGCCAGCTACGATACATACGCTTAGAGCACACTTAGAGCCAATCATCGCCGGTTTTACCGGGCCCCTACCTATGTAGGTACTGACGACGTTGGCGTCACATAATAGCCTAACTAACCCCCATCCACCCAGGCTTGGATACTTTGGCCCCCATCTAAGTAGTCCTCCAGTGATCAATGCGGCGTTATAACGCCAGGTTGAAGGCTCGTGGCCTATACCGTAATTTAAACTCTATAAGGAACTATTTGCTATTATGTCGATACGGTCTCGGTAAAACGACTATTTTCTTTTTTCTTTTTTTGGGGATTTTCGCTCGCCACTGTACAAATGAGGCATGGTCGGTGTGAGTCGGTCACTACGTGAACTCCGAGCATTTTTTGTTCATCCTTACGCCTCATTCCGCAACTCATGTCATTCGGTCTTCCTCGACACTGAAAATATCCACGCCTCCCAATGGAAAAAGGTTACAGCTTCCTATTTGTGAGACCCCCAGGTGATGTGATCGCACCCAACGGCTTCCCTGCAGACCCCCGACCTCAGCCTCCAATGGGACCCAAAGTGTTCCGTGATGCTATGGACATTCGCATCCGAGTCTTCTGTGACGAGCAAAATTGCGGCCTGGACGTAGAGTTGGACGAGGATGACCCGAGATCATGGCATTGGGTCTGTTATCACGCAACACGGGAAGGCCAGCTGGAGCCGATTGCTGTCGTACGAATCGTCCCTCCGCCCCATGGCCCTCATCCAAATGGCTTCAGCGACCCGAACGAGGAACCGTACGTCAAGCTTGGGCGTGTCGCAACGTTGCCCGAGCACAGGGGGAAAGGCATCAGCCGGCTCCTGACCGAAAAAGCGCTGCAGTGGTCCTTTGAAAACAGGCATGAGGTATCTCCGGAGTGGCGAGGCCTTGTGCTCTGCCATGGTCAAACCTCTGTGGAAAAAATGTACCAGAAGTTGGGGTTTGTCACCGACGAGAGACTGGGTCGTTGGCAAGAAGAGGGGATCGAGCATCTTGGAATGTGGAGGCAGCTAAGGGACTCGTAGGGCACAAAGATCTGACTCGGAGGGATTTGTTTCCCTGCTTGATGTGCTCTCCTTCCCTGCCTTCCTTTCGTTGTCGTTGATCCGCCGACCGGCGAGCTCTTCCTTTGAGGGCTTATCATGCGACCGTGCCTGGACTAACTGTTGCCCAAGAAAGGCATGAGTTATCTAATGGTGTTGTCTGCGTCGATGAGTCGTAAGCTATGTCGCGGGTTTCTCTCCAACAGCTAAGCTTGATCTCTGCACTTGAAGCGACAATCCAGGATCCGGGACGTAGTCGAAGCTGGGATTTGGCTGAGACATCTTGAAAATGCGGGGTACGGGAGAAACGCTACTTCGACCAAGCAGTGCCACCAGGTGCTGGATGCAACAGTTACATATTCGGCATTGATACTTGCTGTGGCTTTAAGCCACCTTGCCTATACAATATTTTACAGGTGTAAGGAACCGACAAGGTGGGTATACGGAGCCAGGGACAAGCCCGCTTCGTCATGCTTCTTTTGCTCAAAACATGAATCCAAAGATCTTGTGGTTCGCCCTCGTGAGGAGATGGGTGTACATAGGCTGTTGGCTGGTCGGGATGGATGAGCAAACGTAAGTTTGTGGCAACGAAGTGACGTCGAACACAAGTTCCCTAAGGGGGATACCTCAAATCGAAGTGTGTAATGTTTATTGCGCAAGTACCAATGCACGTTGTAGAGCTCGACACGTTCTTTTCATCACATAACAGACCTTGAGACCAATGTGCACGGAGTTGCCTTGCATATTCAGGGACCCGCAGGACTGGACTGAGGAGGAATATCTGTGTAGGGATTAAAACCTTGTTGCACAATATCATGGGTAGTGAGTAACTGCAGGAACACAACTGGCGGCAAGTCCGGAGGAGTTTGGTCTCGACACCAGAGGGCTTAAGAACCGTTCAAAACCGTGTCGTCCATTTGGATAATTGCCCCTTTGAGTGGGCTTCCAACCATAGGAACCGGATCCTCAATTTCGAATCATGTCTCTAGCCAGAGATGCATATGTACAATTTTTTTCCTTCTATCCTTTCCACCCAGGCTGCCATCAGAGTTCCCCCCGGGACTCAGAACTCGCTGATCGTATCGCCTCTGAGCTTCGCGCGCAAGTCCCATTTGCCCTATGCCGCGGCAACATTCAGTCAGTAATCGTGGATATATCGTAGGCCTCGGTAGCCGCTTGCTTGCTTGCAAACTTACATCTGTCTTCGCAAATGCATACCCAACGACCGAAGGTACGAATATGGCATACATGAAGGAGATTAAAGCTGTGCGCGGCGTCCAACGGAAGTATCTCCAACGCTCTTTGTTCAATTCTGTGGCTAGCAATCAGCTCCTCATCCCTTGGATAGCTGGTCCTTGTGCGAAGTGCCCACGAGAGCAGGAAAGGGTTCATGGCAGGGACAGTGACTTCGTCTGTGCGGAGGGGAAACGTACGGTTATATTTCTCGAGAGCGGGATCATGGCGTAGAGCTGTTTTAGTAACAAAGTCAGCGTCCCGCGCATTCTTTAGTTTCTGTGAGTGCTTGAGATGAGTACATACGTGTTGGTCCGGCCATGATTTACCACTTCTTGAGTGTGAGGTTTTGTGTTGGTAGGTCAAGTCGACACGCCTGCAATGTCAAGGTCGACTTGAGGTTGGGTCGAGGTCAGCTACATGTGGCTTCGATATCTTGGCGCCTTGGATTGTGGCTCGTGCTTTCAG